AGTTGGAATTCGACTGAGTGGTCTCCCAGTTGCCGCAACATCTGCTCGAACACGCCAGTTGAGGTGCTAAATACTTGCCCGCTGGAGAGAGATGGCTGTAAAGAAAACATAAAAAGAACGGGGATAAAAGGTTGTCAAGAAAAAATACGATAAAGACCATAACTTGATCGACCGCGAATGCAAGTATTACAAACGTTAGAAACTATGGTATCAGGGAGAGCGTGGAAGAGACGAAAAGCGACGAGAAGGGGAAAAGAAAGATCACTTTTTTCTTCTTCATAATTTTCTAGGTTTCTGTAGCGATGAGACCTATTTGGGAGCCCTTGGAACGAACGGGCCAAGTGTAGCAGCGCCGACAAGTTCACCGACCTCAAGCAAAGATCCGTTATGGCTTATTGACTAAACTATTAACGGGCCTGGAGCGCTTCCAATCGATTGGATTTTTTATCCGAAATCGTTTAAAACCCTAAACCAGCATCCCGTTTCCTTTAAATTTTATTCAGGTGCAGCTGTAAATCCTGTAAGTATTTTTATTGTGGTGAAAATACGTAAATTTCAAAGAGATATGGTGGGAAAAAGTTATTTGGGCACGGTGTCTCATATACGAATCATTGGGAACGTTTAATAAATTTTATGATGGAAACTTTAAGAATGAACAATTTAAGAATGGCTAATTTAAGAACGAGCAAAATCAAAAATATGATTTACGGTTTTATAGAAATCGAAAAATAAAATTTCGGTTTAAAATTTTTAGAAGAAATTGAAGAAAAGAATTACTGTTTCTTCATTTATTTATTTATTTATTTATTTATTTAATATTTTAACTTAATTTAACATATTCAAAAGAAAGGTTTCTGCTTGATATATTTTTGCTTAGTTCAGATAATAAAAATCAGCAAACTAATGAAGTTTTTCTTTTAGAAATTTAATATATTAACATATGTACTTTTTGTCTGTTACTTGTTCCTAAGCAAAAAATAAAATTTAAATATGTTTAATTAAATTGAATATATCTTAATAAAAAAATATGTATAAATTGACAATAGAAACCATAAATTGCTCAAGAAACCCGAAAATATTAAGTAGAAATCGGAATTTCGGTTAAGTAGAAACAGGAAAAATATGTCAAAAAAAATATGAGTAAATTTACAATATATTAATAAGTAGAAACCGGGGGTTTCTGAAGAAATCAGAATTTTGATTTCAGGTTTCTTTTGAATCCATTAAATTAAATCTAGAATATTTAATAAAATGAATAAATGGAGAAATCACATTTCTTTTCTCCCATTTCTTTTATATGTAACATTAATATTGAGGACATCAACTTTAAAAACACTATAAAAATGAGAAACTTAATATAGTAAAACACTCCATCCACTCTCCCTAATTATATGTAGCCTATGTTTAGATATTTGTATTAATTTTATTGCATTTAAATATCCTGATCTTTTCTTTGGAATGTTTGTGATAACTCATTTATAATCCCTAAGATATCAATCATCAAATACATTATAAAACATAAAATCAAAAGACACCATCACATTCAATCAGGGTACTTGATTCAACTGATTGTTGATCATATGTACCTTCTTCCTTAATCTCAATCACCTTAATTACAAAAGCATACATTCTCATGAGACTAATAAAATTATGAAAAAGTGAACCCCATCAAGTATTATTATATCTTTATAAATTAGTCTATTGATTTAAACCTCTACAACTTATAAGATTGATAGATTTAAGATGTGAAAGTATTTTCTCATGTTGAAAAACTTTCATAACATCTGATCTCTTACAAGAATCTCCAACAGTATTTATAATTTTGGAGGTGAACTCAAAAAGTTGTTTAACTTGTCAATGATTTTTGTCAAAACTATCAAGCATAATTAAAGTTGATGAGCGAAACAGTGAATATAAAATACTTAAGGATTATCATTGAGAATAAGTGCATTTAAACCATTAAATTTTCCTCACATATTAGATGCATCGTTATAACCTTGCCCATATATCTTATGTAAGCTCTATGAATGATTGGCAAACATTTCTTCAACGGCTGCTTAAGTGTCACAACACTATTTAAAGCAATATATTTAATACCAATAAATTCTTTAAATAACCTGTCTTTTTGTATCCACATATCTCACAACTACTGTCAATAGCTCCTTCGCACTAGCATTTTCAATATATTATGAGTCTCATCTACTCGAATGATAAAGTAAGAATTGCCAACATCATTAATGATAGAATCTAATATTTCAACCGATGCGGCACAATAAATTTCTTTCTGAAATTTGGGAGAAATCAACTTCAGTTTCGCACTAGCATTTTCAAAACTAACATTCTTAATTTTTTAATTGTGATCAACAAGAAAATGAAATAACTATA